AACGTGTTTTCAGACGAAAGTTTTATATTGCGCTATGGGGAGGCATGAGACTCACAGCCCATGGCGATGGCGAGTGTGACTAGCAAGACCCGCCCGTGTCAAGAAAAGTCTTCTACAATGATAGCATGGGATTTCAGGACCATTTTTAACATTTGTGTTTAATCCGTTTCTTTTCAGACGCTCAGCTCTTATCCTTTCTGCAATCTTTTCTTTCTTCACTCTCATTCCCTTCCTGATATGCCCTTTCCACACAACACGGTCCATGGCATTTTGTTCCCATGAGTCCGCCTCAATACCTGTATCATTCATGTGTCGCTTGCACACATCTTTATAACGTAGTATAGGTCGGCCTCGACATCTTCTTCCTGTCTTTAATTCACCATAAAGGATGTCCTTAGGGACTCTGTCATCCTCCATTCTCCAGGTGTTACCCAGCCACCTGAGCCTTCGTAGACTGAGCATGGAAAAGACTGTTGTAGTACCTGCTCTTTCCAGTACTTCAGTGTGTGTGATTGCGTCCTGCCACTTAATGCCAAGTATTCTTCTTAGGCATCGCATGTGAAACCTATTAAGCCGTCTCTCCTGATGCAAATAGGTTGACCAAGTTTCACTGCCATAAAGCAGAGTGCTGAGAACACAAGCCTGATTTACAAGGGTTTTTGTTTTAATTGTGAGCTTTCTGTTCTACCAAACTCTCTTTGTCAATCTGTTCATTGTTGTTCCTGCAGATACAGTATAATTCAAGTGGAAATGATGGTGAATGTATGGCAGTACGGCTAAAAGATAACCTAGGCGTTATGCTGTTCTACTATCGACAGGGTGGAGGACATTTGTGTTCATGGCTTTGAATGATAATGATGACAATAGGACGAGCCACATTTCACAAAATACTATTAGTTGCTATTTTCTCTTTCTCTTGTGGTACCCCACCAGGACATCACACAAGCGATAAACACCCGGTGACACAAAGTGCCACCATGCGGATAAGAATCAAACACGGAGAGATCCCAAAAACCCCTTTCAGCCGTTATGACATATTTATTGCCTGGCTATATTTAGGTCCCGCGGAAAAAGCCAGGCTGAGACTTTAAACAACGAAAACGTGCATCCCACTCGGCATCTGTGGCTTAGGAGTTGTGAACTAGCTTTGTAATTCCGGTGTGCCGGCTTCGATCAACATTACGCAGCCGCAGTTATGTCTTAGGATATTTCTTGATAATGATAATATTTAGCCAGGGTCGATAAAGGAACTAATGTCATTTGTTTTTTCTTTCTGAAAAAAAATCCGACAGGATGTGGTTTGTGAACAGAAGACAATAGGACCGGCAGGCTGGCGTCTAAACACATTTGCAGAGGGCACGCTGTATTGTGATTGTTTTCTGAATAATGTATATCCATCTCCCTTATCTTCTTGTTCTTGTTCCTGTTCTTCTTCTTCTTCTTCTTCTTCTTCTTCTTCTTCTTCTTCTTCTTCTTCGTCTTCTTCTTCTTCTTCTTCTTCTTCTTCTTCTTCTTCTTCTTCTTCTTCTTCTTCTTCTTCTTCTTCTTCTTCTTCTTCTTCTTCTTCTTCTTCTTCTTCTTCTTCTTTACGTCCTCTCTTACTGCACCAGGTGTCAAGGAAGATATAAGGTCCTGCTTCGTGCCCTTCTGGCTGCTTCGACCATAGACACATCGTGGCGGTGTAGAGTTCTCTAACGTTATCTTCCCATGTTGTTTTTGGTCTGCCTCTTGCTCTACGTCTTCTCTTTTGGTATATTTGCCGTGTATGATATAGCATCACAAGGCATTCTCTCCAGCTGGTCAAACCACTTAATTTGCTGTCTTTGCTTGTAATTTAGAAATGGTTGTGTGCCGATTTTATCTCGTATGACCTCATTCCTGATTTTATCTCTTCTGGTCACTCAAAGTCTTTCTCAGACACCTCATTTCCATGGTTACTAATTCACTTTTATGTTTTGTTGTGAGTGACCACGTCTGACACTGATAGCATAGGGTGAGAATGAATATGCTTTGTATGAGATGTTTCATTGGGCTGATTTGGATTGCCTTATGCTGTAAGATCGAGCTTGCTAATGCTTATAAGTAAAGTAAAATGTAAAGGACTCTTTCCACGCCCTCAGGCGTATTGAACATATAAGGCTAGACCTATATTTTTTTTAACCAGTCGGCACTTGGTTGGTGATGTGGTTAACATCACACAGGCTGCCTTTACTTCCCAGGACTGTACCTGGTAATCACTCAAGGCTGGGTCGACCTTGGTGCCAAGGCCATTTAAGGGGAAAACTGTCCAGCTCTGTTAGAATCTGAACCCATGACCCTCCGATCCAAAGGCAATGTATTCGATAATTTTGTGTTAATTTCTTTAAGATTGTTTTTTAATGCCGCAGCTCCATCTTTTGCGTGGTTTGGCTGTTTGCTGATTTACATTACCTACCCACAGAAACACACATTTAAATCTTTATCACATGACTTCACTTATTTAAACAATTTTCTGTGTGGGAAAACTCGCCAAAGGTTAAAAACACCACTCTGCCAGCCTTATACTACCGTTAACATTACCACGATGAATTTATGTTAAAATAAACCCAAACTAACGAAAAATGTCCATGCTGTTATATATTTTAACATTACTGTCCTCAGTCAAGTGTTAAATATCCCTCCTTTTGCTTGAATGCTTTGCTCGGATAAAGCTATTTACGGCTAGGGCAATCAATCGTCGTTAATGTAACGTCCCAGATTGTGGCCTCCAGTTATCTGTTACATTTTGATGTAGATTTTTTGTTTTAAAATGTTGATTTTACTCCCTGTTTGTTGTCCTTAAGGATAGTTCTTATGTTAGTTATTCAACTTTTGGGGAGGGGGTGAGGAAGAGAGGGGTGGGGTGTGATTTTTCGGTACAGGTAACGTTAATCATCCCCAGCCAGCCAAAATACACACTAGCTCCCTTCTGATTGGTAGTTCCTAAGCCTGTCATCTTGGCACAAGGTTACGGGGTTGTTGCTCAATGCTGTTGATATCGCGTGTTGTATATTTCAGCACGCTAGCCTTTTTCACACTCCTAAAAAAATTGAGAAACTGGCCCTAACACAAAACCCCTAGAGAGTGCAGCAACCTATGTCTCAGGCATTCTCTTTCTCGAAATGAAAACGTTAATGCAAGACAACACAGACAGCCAACAACAAAGCGGGACACACCCGTAACCTTCAGGAAAGTCGACCAGCCCAACAAACCTGTGAATGAAAAGTGACCTACTCTATTTGGGGAGGTTAACGTTACTTTAACCTATATCTCTATAATCGGACCGCTACGTAATGTTTTCCAGGTCTCCGGTATAAAGAATCAGCCACGTATTTCCCGTAAGAGATTAAACTACAATGAAAACTGGAAGCTTGTGAAACAAATTAATGATGAGGACACAGGGTGGAACTCAAAGATCACGCTGCAGAAAGATGGAAACATGGTCACAGGAAAAGAGGCAGCCAACCTATTTGCGGACACTTTTGCTTTAGTTAACGACATTGAAATCAGTTCAGAGAAAAAACACGAAATTCAAGAAAAGACACAATTTAGAAGTCAGAAAGAAATAACATCAGAGGCGCTAGAGGTGCCAATTACACTTAATGAACTGGAGTTGGCCATTTCAAAGCTGAAAATGCGGAAGTCACCAGGAGCAGATGGTATATCAAACGAAATGATCAGAAACTTAGGAAAAGTAGCCAAAACAAAGCTTTTACAGATATTTAATGCTTGCTGTGCAACAGGGAATGTTCCACAGATCTGGAGAGAGGCAATTAGGATACCCCTCATAAAGCCTGGGAAAGACAGTTCTAATGCCTCCAACTACAGACCAATCAGCCTCACAAGTTGTCTCTGTAAAACAATGGAGCGCATCACCAACCTCAGACTACAGTGGTACATTGAAAGTGAAAACATCATTACACCACAGCAGGCGGGCTTTAGAAAGTTCTATTCTACGAAAGACCAGACAACATACCTCTCACAAGAAATAGAGGATGCTTTTCAAGATAAGAAACTGGTACTCGCGGCATGGACAGATTTAAGGAAAGCTTTTGATAAGGTTTGGAAGGAGGGGCTTTTGAAGAAATTGAGAAACTATAAAGTAAATGGA